TTATATTATGTTATGATTACACCCTTCTCCATAGTGTGTGTAATTTTCATTCAAGCAATTTCAGACATGTCTCCTGTAGTGTTATGGTGCTCATAAGCATGATTTACCAGCATATACACTCATCTACACCGATTTTCTTACTGTTGTGTCACATTAATTAACATGGGCATGGGTGGTCTAAATGATGGCAGTTAAAGTGAAACCAGGTCCAGATGTGCCTAACTAGTCCTGAGTTGCAACTATAATTGTATAATGCTTCCTTTCATCTGACAATTGGCATGTTGCAACTAAATAGTGTAGTTGGTATTTATTAAGTTAATCTTTTAGCCCATTAAGTCGAAAAAAGAAAGTGGGGCACAGGGACGCAAAAGACGTGAACAATTTGCAGCTTCGATGGTGGAGTCAAGCAAATTTATGGGAGCTTTCCTTGCTGGAAGTGATGACACCAGTAAGCCAGCATCTGTTCCTTTTGATGGCAGCAAAGAGGTCAAAGTGCAAGATTGTGAACGTGCTATTTCATTTGAAAAAGAAAACAATGAAGAAACTGTTCTCTGTCCTGTTGCCAAGCTAAAAGAGGATGCCCTAATAAATATTTTAACACACAGGGATATTGGATTTATGAAGTTTGATACAATAGGATCAGCAGTTGTAACACATGCACATCGCACAGGGATTGTTAAAGTTGGAGCACATGAATTACAACATAAAGAAGGTCCATTTGATGCCAAAGATGAGCATTCTGTGACTGCATTTTGGTTCAAACAATGCCTTCTGAGTGGACAAGAGGTCAATCGTTCCTGGTTGATGTATTCACCTCTACATAAAGCAGCATACTGCTTTTGTTGTCTTTTTCATCTACATGTATGACATCCGATATTTCGAAGACGGAAAATTGAAAAAAAAATGTTTTGACTTAGCAAAGAGCTATCAAGGGGATATTGATGGACCAGAATTGTACAGAGAAATTAAATACTGTAGAATGTTGATAAGTAAAAGAACACAAACCGATTTTCCTGAACCAATGGTTGCAATTGATTTGCTAACATTTATAATTTCATATGGTGAAAATGTTTCCCAAATATAAAAATTGCATTGCAGATTTTGTTAACAATTGGGTTTTCTATTGCTAGTTGTGACAGGTCCTTCAGTAAGCTGAAATTAATTCTTACATACTTGAGAACCTCAATGATTCAAGAACGACTTAGTAACTTGGCAATATTAAGTATTGAAAAAGACGTACTTAATACCTTAAATTTTGATAGTTTAATTGATGCATTTGCAGCAGCAAAAGCACGAAAGGTTCATATAATGTAACCATGAATACCAGAATGCTACCCATACAATATCTAGTTAAGTATATGTACAGCTTTGTAAACTAATAAAATTTGTTATTTGTAAGCTTAAGTAGCATTTTATCAATCTGTTTTATTATCCATGTACACCACAAGTGACTGGCTTCTCATATAAAACATAAGTTTCAAAACTAGGGATATAACAGAAATTTATTCTGCATGCTTCAAAGATTACTCTAGCTATGTGACTTTGAACAATACTGGATCACATAAATATAAAAATGGTTTACAAATTATGTAAGTACACCTAGTAGGCTATACTTCATTAGTTCCATGTTTACAGTTGTGATATCGTGAGATGTTATATCGTGACTTTATTTTAGGCCTATGTAAGGCGGTAATTAATTCGTTATATTATTATCATTAAGTGGATAATGAGTCACAAAACAAATAATCAAAACATTTCAGAGGTGGAGGAGCCAAAAGTGTCTTTGCCCCCGGGTGCTCAGAACTCTTGCTACACCACTGGATTTATATTTCATAAGTTAATAAGAGGGTTTGGGCATTGCAACCTTTGGCGTAACCACCTATTATTTTAAGATAATTTATTATTTGACTTGCTTTTTCAAAAGATTCACGAAAGTGAGTGTTCCATGTAAGTCTGTTGGAGTAGGTTATGCCCAAAAATGTATTTGTGTTGGTAAACTTGATTTGTATATTATAGAGAGTAAGCTGGACTTGATTTGTGTATTATAGAGAGTAAGCTGAACTTTCTGAACTTTTTTCCTATTTCTTTTAAGTATTTTTCTAAATATGACTTTAGTGGGTTAAGTGTTACACGCCAGGTGTTATGGCACTTAATTATGTGATCTGGTAACAGTTGAATGTGACTTTAGTGGGTTAACGCGCCAGGTGTTACGGCACTTAATTATGTGATCTGGTAACAGTTGAATGTGACTTTAGTGGGTTGAGTGTTACGGCACTTAATTATGTGATCTGGTAACAGTTGAACAACTTCTTTGACGACTAGGCGAGGGTCACGTGACTTGCTCCATTAGGTCACACCGTCTGCATGTTGTAAAGGTTTGAGTGAATTCGGGGAAGTTCATGTCAATTACAAAGAAGATATAAAGGAAGGGGCTTAATACGGATAGCTTATATTGTAGACCATTGTGCCAAACATTGTTTAATGCCTTTTTTTGACATCAAGAGAGTAAGTTATAGTTCTTGATTTCGGTTAAAACCACGGTGAACTGAGTCCGTAAGCCTGACAAGGTGATCTGTAGTATGACGTTTTTTCCTAGACACGTTTTGTATGTCCGTTAATAGTTTTATTTGCTTCGAGATAGTTATCTGGTTGTAATTATTTTTTTGAAATAATTTCCCTACACAATTTAAAATACTTATCGGCCTGTAATCTGCTGGGCCACTAAGGTCCCCTCCTATTTTGGGTTGACATTGTTACGACAGCGGAATTCACGTGACGCTGGTAACACGTAATGAGTATCTAGTATTTTATAGTATATAAGCCCGGCGAGAAGTTACGGGAGGACAATTGAATTACAGACAGATAGAGACGTACAATTGAGTCAAGCGCGGTAGTAAGTAAAGTGCGTGGGCGTAGACGTATAGCTATTTTCTTCTATATGTTTGTTAACTGTGATGTAGTGTTTTGATTAAGGCTAGTTATATTTGACGTAGTGAAAACCGTTTTGTAGTAATCGCTAAACGTATTAACTTTTTCTTCATCTGTTAGAGCAGTGTTAATATTATATTTGATTGTATGGTGGATTCTAGAGGTTGAATCATTACAAACTGGTAGTCTCAAATCTTTCTTATAACAATCTAAAAGACTTTTATAAACACCTAAGTTAGATTACCGAGGTTTTAAAAAGCTATTAAGACCTTTAATTTAGCCAAAAAAACATCACTAAAGTAGAGAACCGGTGAGTATCGTAACAGTTAAATGTTCTGCTGATTATTCTGATACTGGCGTTTGCATTTTAACTTCGGGAGTGCAGAAGCGGTATAGCGTTTCACTAACTGCAACACATGATGTCCATCAAGATAACTCATCACGCCAAGCTAAAACTGCTGCCTTCATAGCGACTGCCATTCATAAAAAAATGAGGGGAAACAAGTAATCTAAAAAAGGATGATGTAGGGACGGTAATGCTAAAAAGTAGACAAACAAGGTAGGGATGAATACACAAAACCATACAAAAATCCCTACTGTACAGCGGTGCGAGTGGTAAAAAAAGGTGACCCTCCAAGCAACCTTCGGCCTCTTTCGGGGAAATCATCATATTTAATAATAATAATACTGTTATGCTGCGTGAATCGAATTCAACAACCAAGCTTCTTTTAAGATATTCATTGCTTTCGTCATTAGTTGATTGCACATACATATAACACTGATTTGAAATATATAATATAACTTTTGATACAACAAAAGTGATTTATCAGAAACGTATATACTGTATTGTATACAAATGTTAACAATTTAACAATTAAATTTAACATAAGGGTGTAGCACTAGCACATTTCTCATTATCCTTTCTTGAAGTTGAAATAACGTGAATATATTTGACAAACGAACATTAAAATTATAGATTTACAAAACACTTTTATTCGCCCAGTGAGCTATTAAACCTCCATTGCATATGTTTGTAACTCACCGTACCGTGTAAAGATTAATACTTATATATATATATATATAGGGCGCTTTCAAAATTACATATTAATCACAATTTCGTGCGAATCTAACAACCGGATGCCAAACACCTGTATGTCATGTACACCAACTACCGCAAAAAGCCTCGCCTGTAACTTTAGTTAGCGTCACAGGAGCTTACAATATCATTCAGAAACAAAGCATTCAATTTTCAAGGGGTAATTTACGGTTCTTTAATTTCTTTTTAATAGCCATTGGTAAAGCTGTTGATAAATAAAATGTGTTGGTTTCGTTTCGAGCAAAGCATAATGATAAATTGTAGGTTTGTTAAATAGAAGAAATAATTACATTTTATACCGAATGAAATTGAGAAATATAACAGTTTATTGCAATTACCTTGAAACGTAATCCTTTCTGTTTAGTGGGAGGTTCAGCATATGGTATCCCCAAGAAAGCAGTGATATTACTATAAAACTTTGTAAGTGGTCTGAACGTGTCTCCTGGTGGCCTATCTTGCTCGGGCACTCCAGGCCCGTCGCACAAATACACATAAATACCTTCGATTTCTGTTTCGGTCCATAAAGTAACTTTTGCTGTAGTTTTTAAATTATACGTTACTGCTTCTGGACAACGTTTGTCTCCAACTTCAATATTTAAGTTCCGAGGTGCGCTTTGACTGTTATAGTTTGAACTATGTCGGTCAGAGTGTGACGTCTGACTTCCTTGCCCGTACCTATCATATCTGTAACGGTCACGACTACCATACTGAAAGCGTTCGTCAGGATCTGGCGTCCTTGGGCTATACCACTGGGCGTCGAGAGTTGGGAGTATCCTTAAAACACTCATAAAACACAAAATAAAGTCTTTTTTAGTGAACACAACCATTTCAGAAACCACGTATAAATATATTCATTAACGATTTCGAAGTTTTAAAAACAATTCCCTGGTTTTAAAGTGGAAAAGCTGAACACGCTATTTACAGACATTTCGGACACTTGAATTCAATTTATCACCTGCCCTCGAGATGGCGCTCATACACCTGGCAAATAACGACGTACATAAAAATAAATATGAAGCATAATTATCGTTCGATTCACTACTCGTCATTGAATGATTGACTGGGCTTCATAGTAACTTTATTACGTTAATTAACTTTTCTGCTAAAAAATGTTGAAGACTAAATTACTCGCATAAGTGCTACATATGCTGTAAATCTTATTTAGATATAGATTCACTAAGCTAAGTAAAAGACAACTAAAAAAACACCATACATATAATACACATGTATGTTTTCTTATCTAATCGAAAATGTAACCATGCCAACAGAAGATATGATCGCCTATTCTTTGAAAAAGGTCAGAATTCAAGTGCTATTTCAACGTTTTCTTTCATAATAAAACTTAGTACCATAATATTAGATGAAGAACAAACAAAAGAGAGATCTAAGTTAAAAAGTACTTTCCGCTATACAAGGTCGCCCAAAACAATGCAAACTAAAAGGTATTTCATATGCATTATATAAAAACATAATAAACCAAAATCGTAACTATTCACAAAAAAGGTAGTCCATTTTACTTGAAAGTAGACGTAGTTGTAGTGAAGCTTCTGTGAACCTCTAATTAACATTAAATTGGAATTATGGCTTGAAAAGTGAGAGTTAAGTAAAGCTGCGAAAGCACAAGTTATTGGTGATATCAAAAAATAAAGTCGTACAGCAGTTAACAGAGGTTTTTACAATATATATATGAAATTGTGTGTTTTTTGTGATTTATTCAAACATTTATCGAAGAATAGCGTAGCATATATTTATATATTAATATCTAGATCGTATACATATTTAAAACTAATTTTTAGTAAGACTTATCAATGATTGTACTTGCTAACAAGTGATTCTTGTCATATGTTTTCTACTTTATTTTTATATTCAAATAATTATTTTTAGTGGAACTGTAATGACGTGCAGCTCTGCAGTCACGAAGGATACATACATATATATTTAATGACAAATGATATTTACTGGGCACTCACATCCAAACGTTCAGGCTTCTGTGTCCAAAATACACCACACATCCCTGTATCTTTCAACAATTCATGTAATATACGAGGATGACGGTTTCCCAGTACCCATCTCAACAGTGTGATTGGACAGGAGTCCATGGGTACTGCACCTAACATCGTGAGTAGAACATAATCATGTGTAATAGCAAGAATACGTCTCTTATTCTCCAGATGCTTGAGATATGCAATAGTTGAATGTATGTGTCTGAAAGTAGCTTGTGTACACGTGACTTGTCTTACTTTTCCAGACGAAAATTATTTTTGATTTTGTTGCATAATGTTGCCTAGGACACATGGATGTCTTTTGCTACTGACCTTTGTGTTCATGGATTTTCACTTTTTACGAGGCACTGCTTTGCTTTCGATGGTTGGGGTACATCTTGTTGCAGGGCTCTTTCTGGATGTTCCTGATGCCCCAAGTTGATACATATTATCTGTTTTCCAATACCACTAAATACAATGCATATCTACATTTTGGAAATTCTACATCGTTGAACTGAACATATTGTTATTATCCCAATATATGAATATTTTGTGTTGGAAAGGACTGTTACATACCCTTTCCAAGGTAATCAAGTTTGGGTAGCATCATGCAATCTACGTAACTCCACACAATATCAAATGTAATTCTGGCGTATTCTCTTCTACCGCGACTTCACATCGGCTTAGGCTGTCATACAACTTGCAAGTTTTAATTTAAACTATTCAACTTTCTGTATTAGTTTGCAGCGTGGTTTATTTTCACTTTTATCTGCCCTCTAGTGGCTGAGCAGTAAGTCTGATTGCTTATAACGATAAAAACTGGGATTTGATATTTGTGGTAATCACAACACAAATCGCCCTTTATGTAGCTTTGTACTTAACAAGAAACAAACAGTTTTGTCTGTTCTTTGATAATGAATTTTTATTGGTGTAAATGTTTGCTTAATGAAAGGCTTTCATAGGTGTTTTACTAACTAACAGTGAAACATTGTATTACTACATATATACATATGCTTCAAATCTTTATACTGGCAGGTTTGCATTATGCTCTCAATAAGGCAGTTTAAGTGTTGTTTTGTTTTCATTTGTAGATCGAAGTTCAAAATTAGAATGACTAGTTGCCATTATTGCTTTTGAAAGTTAATAGAAAAAGTTAATGATTTGAAAATGCAGTTTGACATATTGCTCTCACATAATCGGTAGGGTATTATCTACTCAACTTACCATACTTTTCTAGACTATTTCTATGGTAGAGGATGAACTGATAATGAGAAAAAGTATAGGAATTATGTCTTATAAAAACAATTATCACTAAATCTGAGCTTACGAAAGTGAAAAGGAATTTTTAACCTTATGCACCTTATGTTTATGTAGGCTAAGTGGCCAGATTAGAGACCCCTAGAATACAAGTATAGCCATTGCTAATTTTGAACTGTTGTCCAAAGGGAAGACAGACTGCCAACAGAACTGACCACTACTACTAGATGTAAAATAAAATAAAAAAAACAGGTTAAGTGGTGCAATACGAGTAAGAAAGAAACATTGTATAGAATTCATAGATCCTCGCCCTGAAAAGGACCATTCCTCGTATTTATCAATATCAAGTTTAATTCTAATCATTATATTTAATCCTTAATATAAAATCCCTAAGCCCATTTGGTTTTTTATGCTTTAGTCACGTAAAAATTTCAAATTTTATACATTTATAACTTTTATGTTACATTAAGATCGCGTGTTTGCTTGGAACTGATTACCTTTGTTGTGGCCTTCGTTTTCTCCACAAAAAGCAGCATATAACCTCCCCTTCCTTCTTCCAGGTTTCTGTCCTATTTTCGGCTCCCACACACGACTTTTCCAGTTGTTTTGAGATAACTCGATTCATGCAAACACACACACACACAAATACCATTTTACTAAATCACCCATTCATAACCTAGTTTACTGTCATGAGATTGAAGCAAAGGACAAAACATTAGTATTTATTCCAAGATTTACAATTTTCGCCATAAATCCTTAATTACGCAGGACAACAACAACAACAAATTATCTGCTACTAGAAAAAAATGGAACTGTTTCTCAGTAATTTGACGATGCTGATTCTAAGAATCATGTTGAAAATTACTAATAACCTCTATTTTTCGAGTTATGATACATTTATTCAAATACCTTTATATATGGTGAAAATAACTTTTTCTTTAATAACTTTATTTATTCATTGAAAATTGCAATAAAAATGTTCAAAAACAATACATAATAACAATACCAGTTCAAAAAAGCAAGGAGTATAATAAGATTATATACTGAAAATACATTCAGGCTATGTTCGAAACTTTCATCATGGTATTATTTTTTTGTTACAAAATATCTCCCTGTTGCACCTTATGTGTATGTTTTCAGTTTTACGCTATAAGAACCAACAGTAATATTTCATAATCGCAGGATTCCATTGTCCTTGATATCGCTGTTCCATTGTAGAAATATATTGGTGAAAGTGCTCATCATGCTTATCGCTCACTAGATCATTTGGAAAGAAATCTAAATGAGAGTGCAAAAAGTGCATCTCTAGTGATATCCAAAACCCCATTTTCCTGTGATTCTCGAGCATATCATCAGTCATCATAGCATAGTTTTCATCTCTGTCATTTCCTGAGAAATTTTGAACAACCAGTTTCAATGCTTTTCGGGCAGCAAGTTCTTTCTGATTGAATACTGTTTCAAAATTATCATCCATCAACACTCCAGAATCTGTAGCCCAACAAAGATACCTCCTTTCATTTTTTCCTTCACTGTTTTTGGAAGCTTGTCAGACAGATATCTGAAATAATTTCCATATTTGCTCATTCCTTTTATAGAATTCTTCATGAGTCTCATTTTAATATGAAATGGGGCATAAACACATTTCGAGGAATCACTAAAGGTTGATATTCGATATTCTATTTCTCTGCTTTGTAATTCTCTCTCACTGACCAGAACTTCTTTTTGAAATGATTTTTATCATTCCAGCTGTCCGAGAGACACAGAAAAGCAATGATGTTTGGTATACCCACTCTGTAGGCTTAACAGGAGTGCAATAACTTTTAGATCACTAAATATGTTCCACCTATGGTGATCATACTTGATAGCTTCAAGTATAATCTGTATGTTTTGATAAGTTTCGTTCATGTTCACAGACTAACCTTAGATCAGTCGATAAAAAGTTTCCATTCTTGAGGATAATGTTCAGTACCTAATTCTTCCATGAGTACATCAACATTTGTACAGAAACACAAAGTATTTTGCATGCTGTAGTGAGAAGCAAGATTTTGATGGCGACTTCGGTAAACTGAAACTTTTGTTCCTGTAGCTAATAAATTCCATTGCTGTAAACGAGAGCTAAGACGTTATCCACACTGTTTTGATAGAGACAAATCACGAATCAGATCAATGAACTCTTCTTGTTTGATGAGACAGTTTATGTTGAGGTGCCACAGGAATAAAATTACTAGATGAAGAGGATGAAGATGATTCTTTGCCTTCCTCACAGGATAACTCTTCTATTTCCCTATTTGCTGATGAGGTGCTGATTTCATTGGAGATGCAATATCTGGATATTTAATGTATTGTTACTTTTGCCTGGATATCCAGAAACATTAGTCATGCAAAAATAGCAGTCAGTTAGATGATCTTTGGGCTCATGCCATATCATAGGTATTTCATATGGTATACTTGTTTTATTCTTATTCAGCCACTGTGTCAAGCCAGATGTACAAACTGTATAACACAAAAGTGGAGTCCAATGATTTTCTTGATCACCAATTTTATACCCAAAATAGTGGTAGTAAGCTACCTTTACCTTGTGTATATTTTCCATAAACTGAGTGATTTTTGCTCTATTGGGCTTTACTTGAACTGGAGGCAGCCAGCATTTCAAATTATTTTCTAAAAACTATAAAATAATGTATGTTTACAGAACTAGAGTTTAAAATATTTTAAAACAAAGTTTTGCAAAGGTTGATTATATTGCGGGTATGATGCGAGAAAGAAGATTGGACTTTTTTTTTACTGTGTGTGGAATGAGGTAA